GCTTGGTCGACCGCCTGCCAGCGTTGCGTAGAGGAGCCGCGCCAGCACTGCAGAAGAGCGACCTGCCAACGCAGCAGGTCGACGGCGTGCCAACACTGCAGCAGTGCGGCTGTCCAGCGTTGCATCCGTAGATGATAGCAGTGCGCACGCTCGCAGGTGTGTGCAGACGATTGGTCCGGCTTGCATTGCTGTGCATCCGTCGGCTGTTGTCTGCGCCTGACGAGCCACATCGACTTCGGGATACCAGCCCAAAGTCGCTTTCGCCATCGCGGCCTCGATGACGCTCTTGTGCCTCCGCAGAACTCGTCGAGCAGGTTGCCCGATCGACCTGGACACCACCAGGTGCCTCCGGTCGACCACAGCTCCCTCTGGTCGACCACCAGGCGCCCGACCACAGCTCCCGTCGAGCTACCCCCTGGTCGACGGACCCCTTCCGGCGACCAGAACTGTCAGCGGTTGTCGCCGAGCTCCCCTCGTCGACCGCTGCTCACTTGTCAGGTCGACGGCTGCTCCGTCGACCTCCCCGGTCGAACTGTAGGTCGACCGGCAGCTCCGTCGACCTCCCCGGTCGAACTGTAGGTCGACCGGCAGCTCTGTCGACCTCCCGGTCAAACTGTCCTTCCTGGTCGATGGCCCACCCGTCGCCCAGCCTAGTCCGTTGCAGCTGTCGAGCTCCCTGGTCGACAGCAACACCACAGCGGTCCCCTGCAGCTCGACGAAGCCTGTCGAGCAGCTCTCCCACTGTGAACGGTCGGCTGCTACTCCCGTACCTCCGACCAAGTTGTCGGCGTTGCCCAAGCGAGGGCGGGGCCAACACTCCATTCCCGTTAACAATCAACACGTAAGACTGTGCATGTGACATCGATATGAATGGGTCCATTCAGGTGTTGACCGTACAGTGCGGAAAACAGTGACATGGCTTTGGACGAATAATGTATATCATTGTAGGCAAACTCAGCCATGCTCAGGTTCTTGTCCCATGCGGATGCCTCATGTATCGTGATGCTGCAAAGAATCTGCTCCAAGGTTGGGTTCATATGCTTAGTCTGCTAGTCTGTCTCTAGATGGTAAGCGGGTGACCTATCTAAGTTATGCAAAAAGCTGCTTCCAGAACTTAGACGAGAAACGAGGCTTGCAGTCTGAGATGATGGAATTAAGAACTCCGTGCAGTTGGTCTACGTTATCTATGAATAGCGTCGCGGCTTCCTTGCTATGACCTTGCTGTGCATGGGGATGATGTGTGCCGCTCTTGGGAACTTTTCTACTACCACGAGGATTGCACCCTGACCCCTAACTGTGTGTGGTAATGCCATGATGAAGTTTATGGAACCATGCCGATGCGTGCCGATGAATGAATTCGTGCACGGGCACTATGACGTCGCATTCCGATGCATACATTCGTGCACTGGCACCATGCCGACGTGTGCCGATGCATGCATTCGTGCGCCGGCACCATGATGATGCGTGCCGACGCATTTATCCATGCATCAACACCATGCAGATGCGTTCCGATGCATGCATTTGTGCACCAGCACCATGCCGATGCGTACCATTTCATGCATTCGTGCATCGGCATTATGACGACGTGCGTTTATATGTTTATATGTGCATTTGTACACAGCATCATTACCGAGCTGCAATAAAATAAGGTAATTCTACTATGTTGGAATAACCAAAAAGTTATAACAGCATTTTCGAACGTATCTTTATAGCGCACTATTTCATAAAGAGAATGCGTTATAGCTACTATTGCATTGAACTCATATAGAGCACGCGACAGTAGAGGGAGTTGGAAAGTCAGCAGTCGATAGTCAATTGACCAACCAAGACCGAGGTTATGTGATGCAACCAGGTAACCGCGGGCATCGTAACAGTGATACGGTTTACGTTGGAATGTACCTCGCACACAATATGGCTAGCTAGAACTATATGTCTCAGCAGAATGATTTGCTACCTTGTAATTTATATTCACTATGAACATGGTCATCTATAAGACTTCCGCTAACTTAACTCCAAGGAGCCTTAGCCTTTCCAATTTGATCCTTCACTTATTGAGAGAGTCTATCGTCTGTTCTACTTATTTCTACTCTGTTAGCATTTGTTTATTTAATTTGTTGCTTTTTTATTTTTTAATGGATATAGCACCAAATAGGCATGCATGCACAAAATTCCTGATTTCTATAGTTATCTTACATGTTTTAGAGTGTGCGTGAGTATTACCGATTTCCTCTTACCAAATTTGGGAAGGTTCCGTTCCCGACTGTTTGTGATGCTCAGAATATTCCTGTAACATACTGGTTACGTGCCTTGTAACGCGACTAGATATAGGCTCGTGTTCTACCAAGGATTTAATGTTAATTGCTTAAACTGCGTCCTTCGATCCTCATAGCTGGTACAGAAGCTACATCATGCTAAGTACTGTCTGCGGCAAAACAGGATATACTCTGCCCCTCGTTCTACCATAAGGTACTGTAGATTTTGTGGTGCTGGGTAGTCTATCTAGAGATGTTTTCAGTGACAACGTATCTGGTTAATAAGATTCATTTTTAAGTGAGTCCTCAAGGTTTTATTTCCAGGAAATGAATTCTTGTTCAAGGTTATCTGGTGAGGAAGAGCCCTCTTTGGGGGTCGGGAAGGGATTAAAGGTGGGGGGGAGGAAGGAGGAAGGAAGAGGGAGGGGGGAGAAGGGAGGAGGGAGGAATGTGACATATTTGTGGCCTAGTAGTGGTTCTCTTATGCGTTTCTCCCTTCAGTAACATTCCCCATCGCCGTCGGCCCCTCTCGCAATCCGCTCGTCGCATCACTCTCCCTGTCGCTATCACTCTCCCTTTGTGTTGTCACCTTATGCGTCACCCTCTTTGTCACACTTTGTTATCCCTTATCACCATCCCTTCTCCTCCCTCAAACGTCACCATCCCTCTCATCACTATAGTGCCACTCACCTCATCGCCCTCGCCCTTGCCTCGAAACACCCTTTTGTGGACCCTCCGCTCTCCCCTCCACCCACCTCGTCGCCTTCGAGCCCGCCCTAAAGTGCCCTCTTGTCGGCCTTCAGCTCTCCACTCCCATCACCCATCTCATCGCCATTGCGGCCTTGAATCGCCCTTGTCATCTCTCCCCTCTCATCACATGTTTTGTCACCCTCGTGCTCGCCCCAAAACGTCCTCTCTTCACCCTCCCTCTCCCCTCCTATCCCACATTGTTGTCAAATGTTGTAGCCTATAGTGAGGTTTGTCTTAGGGGGTACAAAACTTAGGGTTAGCTATATGTACCCCAACCAACATCAATGCATCATCCATTCTTCATTCTGACATGGTATCAGTTAGGTTAGGATCCTGTGGGATCCCGTTCCGCCGTTCTCCGTTCGTACCACCCGAGCCTGATCCTAGCTCTCGTTCGTCTCCTTCTCGTTGTTACCGAGCCTAGCGCCGAGCCACGCTCTCGTTCGTATCGTTCCAGCTGTTACCGAGCCTAGCAACGACCCACGCTCTCGTTCGTAGCATAGCCCGCCCCAGCAGCAGCAGCAGCAGCCGCCTCCTCCTCCTGTCTCGGGTCTTCGGACCCTTGGTTTCCCCTCATGCTCTCCTTCCTCCTCCCCCTCTCCTCCCGTCTCTGGTCCTCCGCTTCCTCCTCCTGACCCCTCTCCCGCTGTTTTCCCTCGTTCTCAGTCTTCGTTGTCCCCTCCTCCTTCTCAGACTTGGGCCTCTCGTCGCTCCCCTCGTGCTCGTCCCTCGTCTCTTGTTCCCTTCACTGACCTTCGTACAGCCTTCCTTTGTTCTCGTCCACCTCGTCCGTCTCTGTCTGTGCTTCCGTCTCCTCCTGAGTCGGCCCTCACTGTGTCGCTTCCTTCTCCTGTCACTGACTACTACCGCACGTACCGTCCTGTTCTCTCTCGTGTTCTCGCCTCTCTTGTTACCCACCCTCGTGCCTCTGTGTCCTCTGTGTCCGCTCTTACTGCCGCAGTCACTGAGTTTGCCTCTACCCGCCGCCTTGACTTCGCCACCGCTCTTGTGGCTGCTCCTCCTTCCAGTCCTCTGGCCGTCGGGGGTGTGTCTGCCCTTGGCTGTGACGCCCTAGAGGACAGGCAGTTTGAGCTAGAGTTCCTGGCGGCCGCTTCCCCTCATCTCTGTGCCATGCTCCTCGCCCCTGAGGGTGACCCCGACGCCCTTGACATTCCGACTCCTCGCACTTACGCTGAGGCAGTGTCAGGGCCTTGGGCCTCTCAGTGGAGAGCTGCCATGGACGCAGAGATGGCCTCCTACAGATCCACAGGCACCTACGTCGATGAGGTTCCCCCTCCGGGGGCGAACGTAGTCGACGGCATGTGGATCTACAGGGTGAAGCGGCCACCGGGATCTCCTCCGGTCTTCAAGGCGCGCTACGTGGCTAGAGGTTTCAGTCAGCACGAGGGAGTTGACTTCTTTCAGACCTTCGCGCCCACCCCGAAGATGACCACTCTTCGGGTGTTACTACACGTAGCAGCACAGAGAGACTACGAGTTACACTCTCTCGACTTCTCTACTGCTTTCCTTCAGGGCAGTCTTCACGAGGAGGTCTGGTTGCGTCGTCCCTCTGCCTTCACTGGCTCTTTCCCTCCTGGGACCCAGTGGAGGCTGAGGCGACCGGTTTACGGTCTTCGTCAGGCTCCTCGTGAGTGGCACGACACCCTGCGTTCTACCCTGTCTGACCTTGGGTTCCAGCCGTCTTCTGCTGACCCGTCGCTGTTACAGCGTGTGCTACAGCCTGTGCAAACAGCCAAGGCTACACACACTGCACCTGCAGTCGCCCTCTGGGACCACCGCTCGTTTCAACCCAGAAGCAACCTGCAGAGCAACCACTGGCCACAATCTACCTGGTTCCAGTGGCTTCAGACCCTGCTACAGCCATACGTGGTTAGTGCAACATCCATAGGCAGTCTGTGCTACAGCAACAGACACTACAGAGGGCTCAAGAGCAGCTCGAGAGCAGCAAAGATAAGGGTTGCGGTACTACTACACATTTTATACCTGATTCTGGTGGCTTTTGGCGTTGCGCATGAGAGCAGCAAAGATGAGTGGCAAGATGGTGGTGCGATTCTGCGCCACGAGCGCCACGATGTAGTCGTTGTCCCACAGGCGCAGTGTGCGCTCCACCACCTGAAGATGGGGGGGAAGGGGAGGGAGAAGGGTGGAGGGAGAGACATATTCTTTCGGTTCCATGAGCATGACAAAGCAGCATGCGCTTCGCCACCTGCATGAGGGGAAAGGGAAATGGGGTTTGAGAGGGGAGGAAGGTGGAAGAGAGACAAAATAGTTCTGCGCCACGAGTGTCACGATGCAGTCGTTCCATCAAAGCAGTGTACGCTCACCACCAGCATGGGGGGAAACGGGAACGAGGCGGAGGAGGGGGGCGCTGGAGGGGTGGCGGGGGATGTACATACGGTGCATGGAATGTGAAATGTGACATAGGTGGGGCCTAAGGTAGGGTGTCACATGACATGTCAGACAGACAACGACTATGGCATCGGACAAAGCCTAATGTAACACGCATATAGGACAGTAAAAAACGCGAGCCCAGCTCACTTTATCCCAACTCTGCTCGCTGTCAGTTTGTTTCTGAGAATGCTTAAAGCTGCTTCAACTTGGAATGCGATACATTACTAGCATCAAATCTGGTTTATAGATTTCGTAAGTTTCAGAGGAGGGAGATAATGGCAAGAGCGTTGTAGGCATTGCACGCCGGAAGAGCTGCATCATGCTCCCTTTGGAACTCAATGCGTGATGTGCCCCACTCCATCACACCCCTGTCACACCTCCTCACACCCCATCACCGTCTCACGCCCCTTTGTTCCCTGTCACAACCCGTATCCCCTGCTGGAACAGCAGTGTCACGACCATTTGACAGCTCATGTTCATGTTGCATCACACCCTCACAACCCCCATACCACCGTACCTGGAAGTGTGGGGAGCTGAGGCAGCGCGCGATCTGCTGGAACAGCGGCGTCGCGACCATCTGAAACTCGGGCCCCTGCGTGAGCTTCAAAATCTTCTCCAACTCCTCGAGGAATAACAGCTCATTCTGACAGTTAGTTAAGGGCCAGAACTTCAGCAATCCACGCAGCACCAAATCCGCGAGCTTCGGGTCTTTTTCCACAAACTGAGTGATGCAGTACGACAGCTGCTGGTGGTACATCCACACACACTCAAGCTTGTGCAGCGGAACCAGCGCTCGGTCTAGAATTTGTATACGTTCCTCCTTAAGCGGCAGCACAAATCCTCTAATAATCCCCCCTAAAGTATCCAGCAGCTCCGCGATGCCGTTATGCCGCTCTGATTTGATAAACTGGTGAAATATGTCGTAAATCGCTTCGCGGATGAACAGCCGGCGAACCATGAATCTCGTGTAAATCCGGTGCAGAATAGTCTTCAAATAGGCCCGCTCGCGAGGGTCCTCCGAGTCGAACAGGTTCAGCAGCTTTAAGATGAACACCTGGTCGATGTAATGCTTAGCGACATTCGTGTCGGTCTCCCTAGAGACAACATACCAAAGCAGAAACTCTTAGACTATTTGCAGGTGCGGCCACGCGGCTCCTATAGTTTGCTTCTCCTCCTCCAGGTCGAATGATTCTGTCCCGGAAATCGCGTGCGCGGACGGCGGTAATGGCCGGAAGAGATTAATCTCCAGCATGCGCGTGATGCCTTCAAATACCGCCGCGTTGAATCTCCCGGTTCCAGAATGAACATAGTCGACTAGCTCGATCAGCGTTTGTCGCTTAATCTCCTTCTCCTTCACGTTTTTCGTTGGGTTGCTAAAATCGAAGAGGTAACTACAGAGGTTCAGCTTTCGAATGAATAGTGTCTGCTGCTCCTGCGCACCCACGTCTGATAACAGTGACAGCGGCTCCGCGAATTGCGACAAATCCGCCTGCGGAATCTCTTCGTTCGCGTCGCCGCGACGAACTGGAGCCGTTGGATTCGCGAAGCCTGGACGCTGATGCGGGCTTTCCACAGTGTCCGCTCCCCCCCAAGCGGCGATTGCCTCGACTGCTGCTGCATTGTGCGAAGCTGTCCCCCTACCTCTTACAAACGTCTTTTTAAATGACTGAAGCATGCTAAGCCGCTCCGGCGTGTGGAACCCTAACCGCTAACTAATATCGACACGAAAGCGCGAACGCGAGCAGCAAGAGCAATCCCTAGCCAAGAAGTACTAGTTTCTGGTCATGGTGAAAACAGGATGGTTCATCTCAACGGGAAGGGTTGGACGAGGGGGAAACACCTGGCCCCCATTGGGACCAACGACGGAGAGCGACAGTTGCAAACAGAGCTCGACATGCAGGGGCCATCGACGGGAGCGATGGATGCAAAATCCGTGGCTCTGTTCTGTAGGCACATGCCGTGGGGTGGAGGGGGGGGGGGGGCAAAAGTAATGACGAGGGTTCCTCAGCAGTTTCCCTGTCGAAATCATCCCCAGCCGCTACAACCGAAAGCGCGAAACTTCTGGAGCTGGGCAGGAAAGTGCCAATGGTATATGATGCGTTTACCTGCTCAATTTCGCGCCCCATAGGCATGGGTACATCAAATCGAGCAACCCTAACGAGGAGTGTAAAAAATTGCCGCAGGGGGTTCAGCGTTTGAAAACCGAGTCGCAGGGGGTTTTTTTGTTCGTGCTAGATGGCTCGGCCTTGTTTTTCATCGAGCGAGTTGTTCTTGAGAGGATGGGTTAACATCCCAAAAATTCAACTGCCGAAATTGGCTCGAAATCGTGGGATACCTCTAGGCATCGCACGCGAGGTTACCCTCAAGAACCCAACAGGAAACATGAGGGCAACAACGATATCAAGCGAAATTCACGAGAATGTCGTTTACTATCGAGAAAACAAATTGACCAATCAGGATGCAGGAGAGTTTCGAGGTTACCTCAAGGAAACCCCACTGCCTCGGAACGAGGCTAGTCCACTGGCTTGGTCGCACTGTTTCGGGAACCGAAGCTGACCCGAAGCAGGTTTTGATAATAGTGTATATCCTAGCAGCACTGCTGAATGATGAGATTGGTTAACGCGCCTCACCATATCGCGTTGTATTCTGATAAGTTTCGCTGAGAAGCAGGCAGAATAACTGTCACCAATCAAATCCTTCCACGTCACTTCTGCACCGCAGATCCTTTTGGTGATGCGTCGAAGTGTATTTCAGTGGTTCTGGCAGTTGCTCTAATTCAGTTGCTGAAGCATCCATCTCACGCTTTTTCCAACTCGCCATGGCGTCATAGCTCCGCGATCGTCGCTACTTGGAGCTTAGTTGTCAGAAAGCTATTTGTGCACGCTCTATGACTAGGATCCTTTAAATTTCCAGTATTTTACCATGGACTTCATAGGGTTTCCGGTATTGCCGAAGTCGAATAACGAGTAATTTCTATATTCTCTGATGATTGTTTCTTTATGGCAGATTACCGATGGCGGAAGCGATGCCAGGGTTTGTGCCGCCATCACGTACTCCTGTAGATCTCGTTGTCGCGGCGAGGCTCTTAGTAGCGGTCGTGAGGTAAGCGATATGACCGTGATGTGATAATTTATGATTTATGTCCCCTGGAGTTTCAGGATGAGCGCCGCTCGTTCTGTTTGGCATCATGTCGTCATCCTGTTTCGCAGGTTGAAGCCACATTTCTCTTTGTCAGCCACCCAGTTTGCTCTTGCTTTCTTATTGTCATTGTATGTTTCACTGCAATCCGATGCCCTTGCGTCTTAATTTGCGCCTTGATTTTGCAGGCGCTAGTTCACCGAGCCTCCTAGCTGCCAGATTCTCTTCGCCTGGTAAGCATGTTTGCCACTCGGTACTAGATGTCAAACATTATACATGTTGTATTTGTGTAGGCTGTAGTGGGTTAGCCTATAGGGGGGTCACAGCATTAGGGTTTCATATTTGTACTCCCAATTCTTGCTAGTTCATCATTCCAGTCCGTTATTTCTGACATGGTTTCAGAGCAGGTCCTTCGCTAGGACCGTTCTTAGGGCCCACCGTTACCTACATACCTACCTACCTACCTACGCGCCCTCGTGCGCCTCCTACCTACCGCGCGCGCGCAGCCCGCCAGCCGCCCGCGCGCGACTCGATTATTATTATTTTTTTTTTAGCGCGCGTATCCCGCTAGCCGCCCGCGCGCGGTCGATTTCGCTGCGCGCGCCCCGCTAGTCGCACACGCGCGGCTGTTTTCTTTACGCGCGGCCCCGCACGCTGCCCGCGCGCTGCCTGTGCGCCTCGCTGACGCGCCCGCTGCTGCAGCCGCCCGTCGCCCGCTCGCGCACACCCCGCCGTGGCCCCGCAGGCCCGCAGCTCGCCGCCGCAGCTGCCGCACGCCCGTTGCCCGCAGCCGCCCGTCCGCCGACGCCGCTGCCGCCCGTGCACCGACGCCGCTGCCACCCGTGCGCTGCTCCCGCTGCTGCTTGCGCACCGCTCGCTGCTGCAGCCGCCCGTGCGCTGTCGGCGCTGCTGCCCGTGCGTATAAGCCGCTGCCGCCCGTGCGCCTCTGCAGCCGCCGCCCGCGAGTCGCCCGCTACCGCTAGTGCGCCGCAGCTCCTGCCCTTCGGTCGCGCACCGCTTCAGCTCCTGTCTCTCGCGCTCCCTACTACTGCCGCTCGTGCACCACGCCGGCCCCGTTGACCCTGCGCACACCTTTCCAGCGGCCTTGTTCCTACTGCTACTACTGCTACCGCTACTGTTTCTCCTACTACTGCTACTGTCACTATGGCTAGTCCTCCCGTTCTAGCTTTCGATGCCGAGGGCCGCCCAGTGAAGTTCGAAACCTGGCTAGATGACCTGCACCTGTTCCTACAGCTCACTGCCAAGGAAGATATCTCACTGTACGACCACGCCCTAGGCCATGCCACTGCCCCTGACTCGTCTGCTGACAGCACTCTGCGTTCCCAGTGGCAGACCCGTGATGCACACGCTCGCTTTGCTATTCGCAACTCCCTGCCGCTAGACGAGCGCGAGCACTTCGGCCAGTGCAAGACTGCTAAGGACCTCTACACCGCTGTAGTTGCCCGCTACTCCTCACCCGCTTCTGCCACGCTAGGCCGCCTCACTCTCCCCTACCTGTTCCCCGACCTAGCCTCCTTTCACACTGTCGCAGACCTCATCACCCACCTTAAGACTAGTGAGGCCCGCTTTCGCGCTGCTATGCCTGCCGAGTTTCTCACTAGCAACCCCCCCCCGCTCTGGATCACTCTCTACCACATCGTCACCCGCCTCCCTGACTCTCTGCGCGCTGTCAGGGACCACTTCCTCTCTCGCTCCCCCACTGAGCTCACTGTTGCCCTCCTCGAGAAGGAACTGCTTGCAGCTGAGGCGAGCATCGTCGCTGTAGGCACCTCTCGTGGCGACCCCCGCACCCCGTTCTTTGAGGGGTGTTCCCCTTCCCCCCTCCTCCCCTCTGTCGCCTCTGCTGCTGCTGTCGACCTTCTTGGTGCTGAGAAGGTCGGGACCGCGTCTGCTTCGAGCGGGCGCCGCAGGAACAAGGGGGGCAGGGGTGGGGGTGGCGGCGGAGGAGGTGGGGGTGGAGGCGGTGGGAGTGGAGGCGCGGCTGGGGAGACTAGTGGCGGCAGTGGGGGAGGAGACAGCAGCGGTGGGAGTGGTGGTGGAGGCGGCAGCGGAGGCGGAGGTGGTCGTGGTGGCGGCAGGGGTGGAGGTGGCCGGGGCGGAGGCGGTGGGGGTGGTGGTCGTGGAGGCACTGGCGGAGGGCAGAGTCAGCAGCCCGCCCCGACGCTTCAGGCCGCCCGTGAGTGGTATGCGCAGCGTAGCTTTACCTGCACGTACGTCATTCGCACAGGTGACCGCAGCGGCCAGCAGTGTGGGAGGCCGCACCCCACGCAGCGCTGCTTCGCGCGCCTTAACGACGCGTGGCGCACTCAGTTTCCTGCTGCCACTGAGCTGCCGCGCTGGGCTGATCTGGAAAAGAGGGGTGTTGATATTTGGGCTTTAGACTTTGATGCTATTCTCACTGCCATGTATGCGATGTCTATTAGTGGAGAGGGTGCTCAGTACTTGCGTGTTCCGCCCGACCCGGGCATTCAGGCCAGTCCGGCTGCCGCTCTAGGTGCTAGTGCGTCTGCTCCCACAGGTCCTGGTGAGGCTGCAGCCCTAGGTGCTCGTGCGTCCGTGCCCCCTGGTACTGAGTCGACTGCAACACTGCACACCTTCACCCTGGACTCAGGTGCTTCTCGCTCCTTCTTTCGTGACCGCACTGTCCTTGAGCCACTCGCTCGGCCGGTTGCTGTCTCCCTGGCTGACCCCTCTGGGGGTCCGGTCATTGCGACCTCCTCCACTGTCCTTCCTTGTCCGGCGGTCCCGTCCGGCACGCTATCAGGTCTCTACCTCCCCTCGTTCTCTACGAACTTGGTGGCAGGTAGTGCGCTCCAGGACGGGGGTGTTCACCAGTTCACCCCTGCCTACGAGCGCGTGACACACTGCACGTGTGCTCGGACGGGTCGCCACCTGGCTACCTTCACTCGGGAGCCGGGGTCGGACCTTTACACACTGACCACTGAGTCCCCTCAGGTAGCTGCGTCCGCGTCTGCGTCTGCGTCAGGTCAGCTGTCCGCCCCCTGCTCGTGTCGCTCTCTGGCGCATGAGACTGTCCTTTGGCACCACCGCCTTGGTCACCCGTCCGTGCAGCGCCTTCGGGCCATGCACAAACGGGACCTTGTTGCTGGTCTTCCCAGGGTGCTCCCTCCCCTTCCAGCCTCGCCTGCTCCTCCCTGTCTTCCCTGTGTCGAGGGGCGGCAGTGCGCCGCTCCTCACTCCTCCTCCTTTCCCCCGACGACTGCTCCTTTGCAGACGCTCCACATGGACGTGTGGGGCCCAGCCCGCGTCCGTGGCCAGGGTCAGGAGAGGTACTTCCTGATTGTTGTTGACGACTTCTCGCGCTACACCACGGTCTTCCCCTTGCGCACCAAGGGTGACGTCCCTGATGTCTTGATCCCTTGGATCCGCAGATCTCGTCTCCAGCTCAGTGAGCGTTTCCGCTCCGACTTCCCTGTCCTGCGTCTGCACTCTGACAGAGGTGGAGAGTTTTCCTCTGGCCTCTTGGAGGCCTTCTGTCAGCAGGAGGGCATTGAGCAGTCGTTCACGCTTCCGGCCTCTCCACAGCAGAATGGGATTGCTGAGCGCCGCATTGGCTTGGTCATGGAGGTCGCTCGTACCTCCTTGGTTCATGCGGCTGCCCCCCACTTTCTGTGGCCGTTTGCAGTCCGATACGCTGCGCATCAGCTCAACCTCTGGCCCCGTGTCTCCTTGCCCAAGACTTCTCCGACACTGCGTTGGACGGGAGAGGCTGGCGATGCGTCGCGTTTTCGGGTCTGGGGATCCCGAGCTTTTGTCCGCGACACGTCCGCGGACAAGCTCTCCCGTCGCGCTGTCCCCTGCGTCTTCCTTGGCTTTGTCCCGGACGCCCCTGGTTGGCAGTTCTACCACCCCACCTCGCGGCGTGTCCTGGCCTCTCAGGACGTCACTTTTGACGAGTCCGTCCCCTACTACCGCCTCTTCCCCTACCGCACTGCCCCGCTCCCCCCCCCCGCCTCTCTTCCTCGCTCCAGGTGCTGAGGTACCAGACCCCCTCCCCCCTCAGGGTGCCGCTCCCTCAGGTGTGTCCCAGGTAGACCCGGGTGAGCCTGTCAAGGTAGCTGTTGACTCGCGTGCTGCGTCTGGGGGTGCTGAGCCTGGGGGTGCTGCGTCTGGGGGTGCTGAGCCTGGGAGTGCTGAGTCTGGGGGTGCGGAGCCTGGGGGTGCTGAGCCAGGAGGTGCGGAGCCTGGAGGTGCGGAGCCTGGAGGTGCTGAGCCTGGGGGTGCTGAGTCTGGGGGTGCTGAGTCTGGGGGTGCTGAGCCTGAGTGTGCTACACCTGGAGGAGCCCTCTCCTCCCAGCAGCTGCAGGAGAGGTACCTCGAGTACTGCCGCCTCCGGAGAGGTGCTGTTGGAGCTCGTCCCGGTACTTCCCCTCCTACCCAGGAGCTCCCCCCCATTCAGCAGATCCGCGAGTGGTACACACGGCGCTGCAGTCTTCGGAGTGGTGCTCCTGGTGCTGCGGACCCTGGGGGTGGCGCTGCTGCTGGTGCTGAGGACCCGGACGTTGGAGCTGCTGCTGGAGCTGAGGACCCGGGCGGTGGCGCTGCTGCTGGTGCTGAGGACCCGGACGGTGGAGCTGCTGCTGGTGCTGAGGACTCGGACGGTGGAGCTGCTGCTGGAGCTGAGGACCCGAGCGGTGGCG